ATATGTTATCAGTTGACACCCTTTTTGATATCTCTCACAGGAATCGAGATAATCAGTTATCAAACTTACCCCACACTTTTTCTCAAACTCTTCAATATTCTCCGGTTCGGAAATACTATCCATCGATTGCGTATTTTCTGATCTCTCATAACCGGAAACCAGATCAGCTTCATACTTCACAATTCGCTCTTTTTGAATTCGAATCGTTCGTTTTGTCGTCGCGGTTTTTCGTTTTTGACGAATCGATTCTGTCGACGTCGTTGACTCTTTCGACTGCTATAATTTTTGTAGTTTGTGCTTTTTGTAGTCCACAATTTGTAATATTTGTAGTATATGCTATCAATATTCAAAAATTCATTAAGACCCAGATTTCTGAATTTTTGAAATTTCCAATTTCTGGATTTCCGAATTATTGAATTTCAGATTTTTCTGAATTTTTGAATTTCTAATTTTCTGAATTTTTGAATTTTTTGTAGTTTGTAGTTCGAATTCCAAAATTACAAAAACTACAAAAATGAGAGAAAAAGGACAATTTGCGACATTTTTACACACTGCCAGGGCGATAACTTCTCAGATAAATCGATTTTTGTAGTTTGTAGTCTACTATTTTTGTAGTTTGTAGTCTCTATTCAACTCACAGCCGTGCTCATCTCTTCAAACGTCTCCGCTTGCCGCTCTTTTCTCATCTGATCCGTCAGATTGGCGCTATTTCTTATCACCAACCGTAGCTTCTTTCGCGACATTTCTCTTTCTCTCTAAGCGCGCAAATTTCGATGATTTTGGGTAAAATTTTTACGAATGTCTCCTCGAGAATTTATGTGTTTTATTCTTTTGAAGAAAAAGAAACTTGGTGAATTTTTAGAGAAATTAGGTGGATACGCGGGGGGATGGGACAGCACGGGGAAAAAGCGTAAAAATGAGCATTTATATAAGAAAGTAGGGGGTAGCGACATGCTGGGTGAGAAAATACAAGTGTATATAATTGGGTGTGAGAAGATGTTAACATGAAAAGGGAATCTTGAAAATCCAGATTTTAATGAAAATTCCAGGATAAGTTAAGGATAGCCTATCTAGACACTTCTGAAAATTCTGGAATGCGCTCGCCAGTTGCAGCCAAATTATACGAGTTTCAGTATCAAAAGACCGGCTCCTGAACGTTCAAGAACATGACATTGCGGAACCACGACATTTCAGAACTTTTCCGCATTTTTGCATAGTGGTTTTTGAACACTAAATAAGAAAATTTCTGAAATGTCGAGTTCTGAAACGTCGTGGTTCCGAAACGTCGCAGTTCTGAAACGTCGCAGTCCTGAAACGATCAGTTCTCAAATGTCGCAGTTCTGAAACGTCGCAGTTCTGAAACCATCAGTTCTCAAATGTCGCAGTTCTGAAACGTCGCGGCCCTAAAGCGTCACGGTTCTAAAATGTCGCGATTCGAAAACGCCCCGGTTCTAAAATGTCGCAGTTCTGAAACGTCGCGGTCCTAAAGCCTCCCGGTTCTAAAATGTTGCGGTTCTGAAACGTCATGGTTCCGAAGCGTTCTTAAACGTCCAGGAACCAGTTTTTTAATACGGAAACTCTTATAACTCTGCTGAAACTGGCGAGCGGATTCTAAAAATTCCAGAAGTGTCTAGATGAACTATTCCTAACCTATCCTAAAATTCTCATCAAAATCTGGGTTCACAGGAGACAAAATTGAACGGAAAATGAAGTGAAAAAAGCTGCCTTAATTATTGTTTGATTTTCTCGTAGATTCTGGTACAAACGACTCCTCCCATCTCATTAATCACAACCAGTTGTCCGTTTTCCATGTATCTGACACACTTTTCAGTGACATTCGTTTCCTTTGAAAATCCATTGAAATCAATCGATTTGATCTGATTTCCCTCGATTCTCCAGTGATTTTTCGCACTATCCGCCGTTCCGATACACTTGCACTTCAATTTTTGATAGTCTTTTCCGTTGAAGAAATACGAAGTGAGCTTGTTTTCAACTAAACGGAATCTCATGTTGACTGAGTGAACCTCGTGTTTGTGACTGTGATTCTTGGCATAGAACTCTGTTAGATTCTTCGATGTGACCAGTTTCCAATCGCCAACGATTGCGAAGCGAATCGGGATTTCTTTTGGGATTTTTTGTGGTTTCTGGACTGGTTGTTCCATGAGTTTGGGGATCTGGAAAACAAATGGTAAGAGTTGGAAACAAATTTAAAGGCTACCTCATCTTTCTTATTAGCATTATCAATTTTTGTGAGCAGTTCTTGGCGGAGAGCTTCCATTTCTTCCTTGTGAGCTTTATCCATAGCTTCGATTCTCTCGTTTTGCTCACATTTCAAAGCTTCGAGCTGGAAGAGCAAATTTTTAGTATGGCAGACCTTTCGCGGGTTTTTCGAACTTCAAATTTTTATGCTTCAAAGATTTGAAAATTCAGAAAAATCGAACATTTTCCAAATTTCAAAAAATCGTATTTTTGGAAATTCGAAATTACAGTAAAATTCAAAAACTTAATTACCTCATCTCTGAAATATACAAAAGCATGGTTAATCGCTGTAATCTCCTCTCTAAAACCAGCTGAACTTCTCTCCAACTTCTCAATTGAGCATCTATAATTATCTCTGAGCAATATTCCGTTATCAATCGTCGGAACTTTTATCACTTTTCGGACAGAATCCACCTCATCTCCGTGCTCACTTGTCCCAGAATCCGTATCCGAAGACTCAGATTTCCGGGCAACAACGCTTTCTGATTTCGATGACTTCAGTTTGACGTCATCACGAAAATCGCGTATTTCGGTGAGCATTCCTGTTTGAAAGTTCTTGAAATCCTCCGATAGATTCTGACGCATTTCCGAGAAAAGCGATTTCAACGTGGATTTTTGCTCGATTTTGTCAGATTCAACCTGGAAAAATTGGTTTCAAAAGAAATCAGATAAAAAAGTTACTTTCTGCTGGTGATTTAGAAGAGATTTCTCCAACTTTTTGATATTTTCATAGAGAATTTCATCGTTTTGCTCCTGCTTCAGAATCCATTCTTTCGTACTTTCGAGCGATTCATTTTCATTGTCTTCTTCATGGTTTTGGTGCATTCCGACGACGTCCATGTTGCTAAAAATCTGGATAAAATCTGAGAAAATTATGATGTTAAAGATATGAAAATTGGAAAAATACAATTAATAAACAATGGAAAAAATGTTTAGCTGGAAATCTACGATAAAGAGTTTATTATGAGGTTACATTAGGAAGTTTGGTTAGGGTTGCATGTTTAGTTGAGACAAAATTTTGAAAATTGGCAATTTTGAACAACAAAAAAAATCAATTTCGAGAAGAATTTAGTGAAATCCGGGGGTTAAAACAAATCCGAGACATTCAGTATATAGGAAAATTTTACAGATTCTATGGTATATTGATCTTTTTTATTCATGATTCTACTTCTTTGGGAGCTCATATAACTCCATGACGCGCGTCTCGATTTCATCTTGAGTTTTCGAAGAGTTGATACAGTTGAGACAGTTTTGACGGAGAATCGGATCGGCGTAATAGTCGGGGAACAGTTGGTACACGAGTTTTGGGAAATCCTTTAGGAAACGGGGCGGGGCTTCTGGACGGGATGGACTGTTGTATGCTTGGTTCGGAGGAGGGATGTTTTCGCGGTCTTCTGATGGAGCAACGTAGCCTGTCTGGAAAATTTGAAATTGAAGAATTCAGTGTTTTTCGAACACGAGCTAATTTCGAAAAATGTCCGAACAAATTTTAGAATACATAATTCGAAATTTCGTTCAAACCGCAAAAGTTGGTGGCCTAGAAAACTCAACATCCAAAAGTTAGGCCACGGTGTTAAAATGACCTAGAAATTATACCAGCCTAGTCTGGTATGACCAGAAGAATATCAGGCCTTTTCTAGGCCATTTAACATGGTGGCCTAGAAAACTCGACGTGCAAAAGTTAGGCTTCATGTTAAAATGGCCTAGAAATCATACCAGATGAATATCAAGTCATTTCTAGGTCGTTCAGCATGGTGGACTAGAAAAATAAACTTACAAAAGTTAGGCCACGCTTTTAAAACGGCTTAGAAAAGACACCAGGCGGATACTAGCCCATTTCTAGGTCATTTAACCTGATGGCCTAGAAAACTCGAAACGAAAAAAGTTCGGTCACTATTTTCACCCGTAATGAAAAACAAACTGCTTCTGATTCCCCGTAATAATTACCTCATCATTGTAATTTCTTCTAGCATTCGTCCAATCCACACGAAGACTATCAAACTCATCCCTCTGATTCATCTGAATCTCTTGCATCTTTTTCTTCTGCTCGTTTCTCATTTGATCCAGTTGGCTTTTAGCCTCGTCGAACACGCCCTGCTGGAATTGTTCTATCGACTCCACCTGCAAAAGTTTAGCTCTCAATTTTCAAACATTCAAATTGTTTGACCTTGAAAGTGAGCTCATCGACTTTGTCATGAATTTTGGCGAGCTCATCATGGAATGCTGGAACGCCTTCTTCCAAATTGTTGAGCGAATTCTGGATGTTGGCAAGAGCCCCGTAGTTTTCGAAATTCTTGATTGCTGGCGGCATCGGCGTCGACGTCTTCAGCGGCTGATGACTCCACATCGAATGATCCGTAACATTGCCCGAATAATCGTCAAAAGTGAAGACCTGTGGTTGTGCCTTGAATCGAACCGATCTGTTATCCAGCTGTCTCTTCCACTCGATGACGTCATCACGAAGGTATCCGAGCTCTCGAAGCAATTCATTCTTGAATGCGTTATCTTCCTCGCGCATTCGCTTGAATTCCACTAAAAGATTCTGAACGAACGAACCGAGCTGAGCTACCGTATCCTGTTGTTTATCCACCGTTTTCTGGAATCTTCTGCAGTCCCTCTGATTATCCTCATCGTTCCATTCTTGCTGGAATTGCAAATCCTGCATTTTCTTCATCTCCACCTCGGCGGCATGGCGGACCTCCTCTTCGAAATTCTGTTGTCTAATTTTTAAATTTTTTACTTCGTCGCTGAGGTGGCCGATGACTTCCGAAACTGTATCGCCCATTTTTCTGGAAAAAGGCCTATTTCAAATAATGTTTCTAAATTTTCGACGATTTTTATCGTAATTTCGATAATCTTCATCGAAAAAACGGTGAAAATCGTCGAAAAAATTGATTTCAAACAAGAAAATATAGGAGAAAAAATAAATTCAAATGATCATAAATAGAACCAGAGGGACCAAATATAACTTTAAAAAATAGTTCCATGCTTTTATAGCAACATGCAATTGGGGGTAAAACATTCAACAATACATGGTTACAAACGGAGATGGGGGATTAGAAACGAGTAAAATACAAAAAATGAATTAGAAAAAAAAAGAAAAAATTTTTAACATGATAAGATTTACAAAAGGAAGAGCGTTTTCAATCTACAACCACGTCGTCGCTCTTCTCCAGAATGCTTTCTTCTAGTGTTGAATTTTGAATGAGATTCAGAATTTTCGCGTTGAGATGTCCGATTCCTTTGAATTTGCGATTATGTTTTTGACGCATGGTTTCGATCTGTAATTAAATTGCTCGTTTCAGGGCCTGATTTAGATTCGTCTCTTCGCGATTTACCTCTTGAGACATGTCCTGAATCTGCTTGGAGTGCGTGTTGATGTCCTGACGGAGTGGTTCCAGGGCTTTCTGAATTGTTTCTTCTTCTGAACTGATTTGAAAAACATCGGATTTGGCAATTTTCTGTGCGGATGGAGGACGACTTGAGGATAGAACGAATAGATCGCTGTACGGATCTGTAACCACTGGAGGCAAGGCTAGTTCGGTTCTCGTCTGAAAAATGCTCTTTTTGCTCGGTCGTCCGTACAAACACTCTCACCTGAATCTCGACATCACCAGCTCCCTTCTCCTTCGCCATATCATCTAACTCGTTTTTCTCAAAATGCAAACAATTCAGTCGGACCATCTCGATCTTCGCTGCCAACGCGTTATTCGTATCCTGCTGTTCCACTCTATCATTAGCCAATTGCTCCCGGTCAAAATCCTGCTGCTCAATAATCTGCTGAGTTTCACAACCGAGTGCTGAGAGCTCTCCAGCAGTGTCCATAGCAAAATTTTGGGCATCTTTCATCTCATCTCGAAGTGCCTTGACTTGGAGAGAGATAGACTTGTTGAACAGTTCCTGCTTGATTCGAAGCGTCTCGTTCTGGAAAAAGAGCAGGAATTAGTGACTTTAAAGGTGTTGCGCGGTGAATTTTGTACAAAAAGGTATGTGAATTCACATACAAAGCTTTTATGTCTCGTACCTCGTTTTTCTGAGCTGTCAATTCCTCCTGAAGCGATGCAATATCTCTGGTGAGCTCATTATTCATCAGAACTTGATTCATAAGACACTCTTGAAGTCTCGGAATTCCTGAACAATCGGAGCACCTGTTATGACCCTGCTTCTGAAGCAATCCCTTCAGCAAACTCGCCAAATTGTTCATATCCGTTATGACGTCTTTATTGAACTTCTCCTGATGGATCTGATCGTTTACAAGCGCCGTTCGAATCTGTTCCATATTAGAGTATACATTGCTCAGCGCTTCATTCTGGCCCTCAGCTAGCTTCTCGAAATCTCCACGGAGCTCTCCATCGAGCTTCAGAATCCATTCTGTGAGTTTCTTCAGAACGTCTTCAACGTCTGGAGCTTTGTCACTATCCACATGAATAACAGGGTCCTTCTTAAGATCAGCCATGGCTCTCTCCAGACTTCGAATCTTCTCGAAGACGTTGTCATCGATTTTCTCAAGGCTGGAAAGATTACTCTCTGCAAAACCTTTGCGCAAAGTTTCGAGATCCGAGCGAAACAAGTCGTTTATCGATTTTTGCTCATTGATTTGTTGTTCGAGCTTCCCGCCCATTCTTCCCACATAGGCGTTTATTTTCTCCACCGTTGTTCGAAGGATCCCATCTCGCCATTCCTGATTTATCATCCATTTTTTAATATTTTCGACTTCTTGTTTGTCGACGAGACGCGTTTTTTCAGAAATCTTTTTGCATTCATCGAATCGCTGTCCAATTCTTGCTATGCTCTCGTCTAGCGATGAAAATTTAAGCAGAAGAAAGTCGACGTACTCTTGTCGACTCATTTGGTGTCGGGATGCTGGAAAATGTGCAAATATTAGCAAATTTAGGACTTTTCAAAAAATCTCTCTATAGAGAGCGGTTTTCCGAGATTTTACTGATTTTTAGCGGATAAAACACAAAATTATGTTATATTTCATTGAATTTTCGAAGAAAAACTGAAAAAAACTGAGAAAAAATCGAGAAAAAGGGGAAAAATCGCTGAAAATTTTACCTGAAATTCAAAAAAAAAGCGCCAAGAGCAGCTTTCAGTTCGTGGCGAAACCCGTTACATGGTCAGCGGATATGTTCCTTTGAATTACGGTAGGTTGAAAAAGCCAGAAAAAATTAGAAATTGAGGATTTTCATTGAAATTACTGTTTTTCTTAAACTGTGTTCCAGGTTCTTGAAGTCAAGGAATGAGTTTTTGTTCTTGAACCTTCCAAAAAATACATCGGTTAAAAACGCTCGAACGGACGAACCTCACGGACTGTAAAATCTGAAATATTGAAGACCAGAAAATTTGTAACTCATGACTTTCCAACAAATTTCGCAATTTTTTCCTAATTCAGAGTAGCAGAGCCTTCCGCTTATTCGAGTTCAGAGACAATCATCGATTTTCATTGTAATGTGCCCCTGGAGAAATTGTTCAAATGAGCCTCTAGCAAGTGAGACTTTAGCAAATGATCTTCTAGCAAGTGATTATTTCTCCTTTTAAGGGGTACTGTAGATTTCAAAAATATTTTTACAAGCGAAATTTAGTTTGAAAAAACAAAAATGAATGATTTATTCACCAACTACTCGAAAATTGTGTCCAATATGTGTTCGATTCCTCGACCACAGTCCTTCTAGGCCTATAATCCATCGGACGAACGGTTTGAAAACAAGAAAATCGCCTTCGCATAACTTCAGGCATCGAATCCACAAGTTTCGTTTTCCAAGGTGGTATTCGAGCGGCCACTGATGGAATCACCAAAAGCGGATTTCTGAAAAAAAATATATTGTTCAAAAATTCAATTAAAAAAAATTAATTACAAATTCAAAACAATTTCCGACATTTGCAAACAAATTCTGTCACAATAGCTGGGTAATAATTGAGAAGCAACAAGGGAAATTAGGGTAGCAGATACCGAAAATCCTATAATTCCGACAATCGTGATTGTACGAACCATCTGAAAAACAAAAAGGAAAAAATGCTTTTTAACAAAAAAAAATACTTTTAGAGATTTTAAATTTTCTTTGGCCTGAAATCGTTTTCCAAAATGATAGCCATATCTGCGGTGCTGTAATTCCAGTCGGCGGGTGACAGAAGAATTGTAGATGTATAAAAATGCAAAAATGGTGATAGTAGATGATAAAGCTATTGTGAAAGTAATGATAATTTGAAAATACGAATATTTCCATTGAATAGTTTGATAGGACAGAAAAATCGAAATTAGGTGACAAAAAACCAATAATAAGGTTGATATGTAGACTCGTGGGTGTTTTTCGTAGGTTCTAAAAAAATCAAATTTGAAAAAATAAACGAAATTTCATTTAAAAAAAGAGACAAACCTAATAAAAATGCTGGCTATAATTCGTTCTATGACCACACATGGTATGAAAAGAGATAGTGATAAAATGTAATGAGCTCTGATGAATCCACCTATCAGTAAAGGGATGAATAATAGAGAGACTTTGAGATTTCCAGTGGTAGAGTCTGAAAATAACTGAAATTATTTAGAAAATTCTGTAATTTTGAAATTCTGAAATTCAAAAATTTTGAAATTCTGCATTTCTGAATTGCGTTTTTGGATTCCTGGATTCCTGAATTTCTGAATTTTCTGAATTTCTGAATTCCTCATTTTCTGAATTTCTGAAAATTTCAAAATTTCTGAATTTCTGAATTTTTGAATTTCCGAATTTCTGAATTTTCGAACTTCCGATTTTCCGAATTTCTGAATTTCTGAATTTCTGAATTTCTGAATTTCTGAAGTTTTCTTTATGGAAAATTCGGATGAGTTTTTGAATTTTCTAAATTTTCGTATTTTTTTAAACCTTTTTCGGATTTTTTGGAATTTATGATATTCCTAGAATTTTTTCAGAGGCTCAAAAAATCTTTGTTGTCATTTTTGGTTTTAATGGTTCAAAGTCCATTAGATTTATATTCCAACACAACTAGAAACAAAATTGGATGCTGGATCTTTGAGATCCAGAATTTCATATGATATGCGGAAGATTTTGGACCCGTGCACCTCAAAAGTTTGATGTAAATTATCTAATTTCCTATGAAAGATATGAACAAATTATTTTACTGACAAAATGTTACTGATATTATGATAAGCATTTTATCAGTTGACAACTTCTTGATATCATTTACAAGAATCGACATAACTTTGGTTGAAGCCGTACCCCTCTATTAAAATGTCTCCCCCAAACAGTCAACTTTGAGCTCATTTATCTCATTTCCTGTAGAAAATATCAAAAAGTTGTCAACTAATAAAATGCTTATTATAATATCACCAAAATTTTAGCAGTTGACAACTTTTTGATATCTATCACAGAAAACGAGATAACCCCACCTTCCACCACAGTATCCTTGATTGCTATCCATCCCTCTTGATACGGTATAATGAGCAATCTAGCTAGAAAACACTCGAACCATTGGCCCAATAATGAAACACAAATGATTGTCAAATTGAAATGGAAACATCTGATATGGCAAACAACTTTACAGAATTTAAATGTTAGATAAAAAGAAGGAACTAGAGAAATTAGCTCGATTACTCTGAAATCCCTTTTAATTAAATTTGTTTTCAGAATCTCAGAATTTAAAAATCTTAGAATCTTAGAATCTCAGAATTTCAGAATCTCAGAATCTCAGAATCTTAGAATCCTAAAATCTTTTAATTTCAGAATTTCAGACTTCTAGAATTTCAGAATTTGCGAACTTCTGATATTCTGCACTTTTGTATCTCAGAATTTCAGACCTTACCTAATAATCCAATAAAGAATATCCGAGAAATTTTCAAAAATTGGCATTGTAAAAATCGGAAAGTAAACAACAGTAACATTGTGCAAATTTAGTCTCATATTCTAGAAAAATCAGAAAAAAGTGTGAATAGTTTGCCGTCGACAAATCTAATATACAAGGAAACAGGTGGTAAGAGAATACGTAATTAACCTAAAATGAGATTTCTGGGAATTCTGAACTTGGCCAGTTAATGAGATTCTGATATTGTCTTCTATGAATTTCAAGAATTCTTTCAGGTGCAAAAAAGAACGAGTTCAGATCGAACGAATAAAAATAAATAGTTTATTATATAATTTTTTCAAAAAAAAATACATTTTTCTACCAAATTTTTTTCAACTGCTCAAAATGCACGTCAGCCTGAGAAGGACGGTGTTTGTGGTTGTGGTGACTGGAACTGTTTTCAGCATAATCCATTGCATGAGTTCTATGCTTCAGACGTCCTGGAATCAGCCGGAGAAGACGTTTGAACCAGTTGGGTTTGATGAAAAATACAGCTGTGCAGATGAATAATGGGTTGCTGAAAAAAAGAAAATTAAGAAAAAAAAAGAACTGATTTTTTGATTATGAGAAATGTATGTTACTGATGTGTTGGGGGAAGTTTTGGAAGAGGAAATACATTTTTTTCAATTTGGAACTTTTTTTGAACCTCGGTGTTTCAGAGTTTCAGGATTTCAGAATTTCAAAATCTCAATCTCAGAATCTTGGAATCTCAGAATCTCAGAACCTCAGAATATCGGAATCTCGGAATCTCAGAGTCTCATAGTTTCAGAATCTCAGAGTCTCATAGTTTCAGAATCTCAGAATCTCAGAATCTCAGAATCTCAGAATCTCAGAATCTCAGAATCTCAGAATCTCAGAATCTCAGAATCTCAGAATCTCAGAATCTCAGAATCTCAGAATCTCAGAATCTCAGAATCTCGGAATCTCAGAATCTCAGAATCTCGGAATCTCAGAATCTCAGAATCTCAGAATCTCAGAATCTCAGAATCTCAGAATCTCAGAATCTCAGAATCTCAGAATCTCGAAAACTCAGAATCTCAGAATCTCAGAATCTCAGAATCTCAGAATCTCAGAATCTCAGAATCTCAGAATCTCAGAATCTCAGAAATCTTGTACGTTTTTGAAATTTAGGGATTGTTCAATTTTCGAGTTTGGAGATTCTGGAGTGTTTAATTTTTTGGAAATTTAGAATTCTAAAGTGTTAGATTTTTCTAGACTTTCTTGGAGGAGAATTTTTGAATCCCAATTTCAGAATCTGTGGCTTCCAGAATTTCAGGATTTTAGAATCTCAGAATTTCAGAATCAACAAAAACTCACACATGAATAAATTTCTCCAACGCATAAAAAACACAAACTGTATGTGCATAAGATACCAATCCCAGTGTTGCCAATGTGATTGTAATCGAAGCCGTCATAATCATAATTCCAACTTCAACGACAAGAATATGAATCACCTGAAGAAAATTCAGCATGAACAATAATAATTAGCACTTTTCTAAGGCGGCCGGTCGCGGCTGGCCTAAGAAACCAGACTTTCCCAAATTTCTCACCCTAAACGATTGAACATTTTCCATGATTTGAAATTTCACAGATAGACTATAAAAGTTAACATTTTGTTCACATTGTCTTTTGAATTCTTTGGTTTTTTGTTTGATTTGAAGTACTATCTGAAAACAAAATTTTTGGTTGGGTACAGTAATCCAACCAACCATATAAGATGCCAACTGTAACAATGTGGCAGTTGTAGCCAGAAACAAAACTGAAACTCTTCTATAAGTCACTGAAACTGCCCCAATTGTAGCCAATGTCTCCGCCAGAAGGATCAATGAAACGGAGATATAAGACCGCGATTTTTGTTCATAATCTCTGTAATTTTAATTTTAATGTGGTGATGCTCACAGTTCTCGAAGTCTAGACAAAAATACTTGTTATAAATAAGTATAGGCTCCAATATCACCCACCTAACCATCAACGTGGCAAAACATCTCTCAACGGCTACACATGGCAAAGCGAAGCATACTAAAAGCATGTATCTGGCACGTACTCCGGCACCCAAAAGAAATGAAAAATGATTCTCAAAACTTCCAAAATCGATTACGGTATCATCAAAAGTGTACATAATTACAGAATTCTCAGAATCTGTAGAAATCACAGGATATATACCCTCTTGATAAGGGAAGACAAGGATTCGAGAGATGGTTAACTCGAACCAGTGGAGCATGAAAATGGAGTAAAGAGAAATGATATTGGGGTGGAATAGTTGGAAAAGACGCACATGTAGACGGTGTAGGTCTGGAAAATTTGAATTTGAAATTTCAGAGTTATAAGGGCCCCTATCCATTGCGCCAGTTTTTCTTGGTTCCTGTCAAAGATATAACAAGTAGTGAATTTCAAAAGTTTTAATTTTCACATCAAAGTACTGAAATTTCAAAAATTTTTGTGAGCCACGCAAATCTTTTGAATCACCCAAAAGATGGACCGTTAAGTTTTTGGGAGCAACAAATATAACAGAAATATTAACAAATATAACAGAAATATTAACACTTTCTGAATATTTTTCCCAAAATCAAAACTTTTGAAAATCACTACTTGTTATATCAAAAAAGTAGTCAGCTAATAAAATATTTATCATAATATCACCAATATTTTTTTTCAGTTGATCACATTTTGATTCCTCTTACAGGAACCGAAATAATCAATTTTCCTTAAAGTGTATCAAAAACCCCTATACATACACTTTGAGCTTAATTACCGTAAAACCTGTATTCTATTTTTCCGGCCAGTTTTCTATTTTTCCGGCCAGTTTTTTCCAAAGTTTTGAAAAAATTCGAAGAAGTTTCGTTCAAAATTCATGAAAATCTGTCAATTTCATCAAAATTTAGCAAGATTTTTATCAAAAAATAGAGTTTCGACAAATTTCTATTAAATTGTGGAATTCCCGGAATATTTTCCACTGAAAAAGTACGGAAATCGTGTGATTTCAGAACACATTTTGAGGGGGGGGTCCTTCTTTACAGAAGGCCCTTCTATTACGGGGGCCCATTTATTACAGGGGCTCTTCTATTTTTCCCAGTCCCTCTTGGAGGGCCCTTCTATTAGAGGGGCTGGGGACTAAAATAAATGACTCACATTCAACAATCCCGAAAGGAGCATCAGCACAATTTCCAAAAACTGTATCGCTGCAAAAATCCATGCAACAGAAGAATCATTATCGTACGATTTCACATAGAATAATGCCAAAAATCGAATCCCCTCTGACGCATTTCCACTTATTAGCATGTCTGAAAATTGAGTAAATTCAGAATTAATAAGGAACAAAAAGGGAGGCTAATTGAAATAGACAGGTGAAAATTTGTAAGAGGAAAAAATCTGAAAAAAAATCGCTTGTTTGGGAGAAAGAGACATTTAAAATCACCTATAATTATTTGGGAAATCTTAAAACATGTGTTTATGAAATCTAAGAAACCGAATAACATTTTGAAATGGTAAATCAATAAGTATAAAAACTAGAAAATCGTAGTTTATGTGACTAGAAGTGATATGAAAATTCGTTAGAAACAATGTGATGAAAACAAATTAAAAAAAAATTTAAAGCTCATTTTAGAGCTTAGAGCTCGACATCTGAAATTGAAGAACTTCAATCTGCAAATTTGAATTTCTCATAGTTTGAGCTTCAAAACGAGCTCAAACACAACTAACTTTGAATTTGATTTTTTTTTCAAAATTCTGCAAATGGCTCATGTACAATATTCTCGAAACTAATAATGTTTAAGCTCATTTCAAAGCTCTGAAATGTTTGAATTTTGAGTTAAAAATTCAATTTTCCTAAAGTTTAAGCTTCAAAACAAGCCTAAACACGACTAACTTTCTATTTGAAAATTTTCAAAATTTTGCAAAATTGTCATGTTTGGGCTTGAAGCTCGCAATGTCACAAAGCTGAAAACCAAAACTATTTCCAACATGGACACAAACTGTTTTCAGAAAAAACTTTTCCATACATAGCCCTCTGAAAAAAAAAGAAAAAAAATCGATCATTAAAAATACAAAAACTCGTTTTATTCATATTCAGAATTGTATTTCCAATAGAACTAATCCGTCTGAAAATTCTAAAAGCAGTCTAGAATAATATTTTGTATCCAATATTGGGAACATTTCAGATTTTCTAAAGATTTAATGAATAACAAAAGGACGCAAATTTTAATGAGAAAACAAGGAAACTTTGTTTTTCCCAGAAATTTGAAAAAGAACGAAATCTCAAAAATCGTACATCTCTGAAAACAGCTGAAACATGCGATAAGAAGCTGCGCAGTTAGAAAGAAAATTTGAACTTTTGAACATGGAAAAGTGAAATTTGTAAATTTTCGAGCTGGATTCTGAAAATTATGAGTTATTGGCTATAACTAAAAAAATGCCTATTTGCTTTAATAGAAGCCCCCCCCCCCCATACGTGCATTTTGAGCTCAATTATTTTGGTTCCTATGAGAAAAAATCTGTCAACTGATAAAATATAGGTGAAATTATGATACATATTTTTATCAGTTGAAAATTTTTCAGTATCTTTTGAAAAAAGTGAGATAACTGAGCTAAAACTGACGGGATAGTTTGGTTTCTATTAGAGCAAATTTGGTAGTTCCAAGAATATAATTTTTTGGAGTTTCAGCTCTAAATATATGTATTCTGAAAATATCAAGTAGCGCGTCATGAAACAATTTCGTGAAATCTAATCAAATTCAGATCAATCGGTGCAAAATTACTACTCTTTTGTAAAGTTAACTTCAAAAACATCTATTTCCTGTAATTCGGGTAAAAAATTCAAATTCAAAAGTGCTTCAAAACTCGAAATTTTAAGTGTCTAAAATTCAATATTCCTAATTTTTTTGCCAAAAAATTAAAAAAAAACAAGTCCTATTCTGGATAATAAACTGAGTTATAACGCCTTTACGTAACAGATGCTTTTTCATGAATGGGGATAAAACCAGAAAACACAATTTTCAAATGGGTGATTGAGAAGATTGATTTCAGCTGCGTGGAAAGTGGTCAGTATGAAAAACAAAAAGATAAATCTCTAAAAATTTGTCAAGCAATAATATTTTTTCTTCAAAAATAGAGGTCACACAGACGAGGGTTCTCTTGGCAATAAATGGATTGAGAATTCGAAATTTAACACTTTTAAAGAACATGCTCACCAAACCATCAACTTTGTTGTTTGTTCCGTTTCTCTAGAAAAACTGTAGCTCGAGATATGGTAATTTTATTGGATCCGACTAACTACAGTAATCATTTACGAATCTAGTCATGATTATACTCATTTGGAAGCTTGTGACAAGAGAAATAAAATTATATTAATTTCGTATTCCTAGACTTACTGTAACCCGATTTGTGGTGGAACACTCCGGAAACACTCAATGTCTACCAAGCCGTCAACTTCAAGCATCAACTTCAAGTATATCTCGATTCCTGTAAAAGATATAAAAATTTGTCATCTGACAAAACGATTTTGATATGATGATAAACATTTTATCAGCTGACAAATTCTTGATATCTTTCACAGGAACCGAGATAAATGGACCAACAGTCAAAAGTTAGAGGAGCTCTTCTATTACAGGTTTGAGGAAAATTACAAATTTCACATTTTTACCTGTCAAGAAAAGTTTTATTAGATTTGTGAGATACAAAAAAGTTGAAAATCAGGAAGCTGAAATTCTGAATGTTGAATCTGAAGGTTGATGTGGAAGAAGAAAAAAGCAACCAGTAGCCAATTGAATATTCACAGACAAGTTTTCATCAGTGTTTAATATTTCTGTCTACGTTTGATTATGTTTTTAAGTTGTCTATGTTATGAATCAGTGAACAAAACGGTTCAAACCTCTGAAAATATGATTTTTCAGCTGCAAGTTTTCTGTTGTGCTAATTTTAGAAAAGTATGATCTGGTATTTTTTCCGGTTAAATCAGAAACTGTCTTCTCAAAACAATGACACTGAAAACTTTTTATGACGTAAGACAACTTTCCACAAGATCAAAAATTCAAACAATTCTTGTTTCAACAGAGAAGGAAAATTCCTGGTATTGGAAACCGTCAATTATTGTCTCAGTGATTGACATCAATGCCTTTTCGGAACGTTTCAGAGCCCAATACACAAACATTCGAAAGCCTGAATTTTTATAATTAGAAAAATTAAAAATTATAAGAGTTCGTTCCCTTAAACCTCAACATTTCGAGCTCCTAATTTATAAAAAATTCTGCTTATACGAGCTGACTAGACTTCTGGAATTTTGTAAACCCTCAAGAGGAACGCTCCCTGACCGCTTCAACTTTGTCAAAATTTATCTCAGCTCCTGTGAGAAATATCAAAAAGTGGTCCACTATTAAAATGTTCACCATAATATCACAAACAATTTTTTAGTTGACCACTTCTTGTTATCTTCGTCAAGAACTTGTTGTCATTAATTTTTAAAGAGTCTTCCGCCGAAATTTTTATCTCAAAAATATCAAAAAAACGTCTCTCATGTTTTTTAATTTTTACACTCCTCCTCATTCCAGTTTTTTCAGTTGTTTGACCCCCGTAACTAGATTTATTCATACATATACGTCCTCCCTTTTACCTGATCAGACTTCAGAATTTCTCTAACTAAATACTCTTTTCTCAGAATTCAAGAAACCATTTGAGGGCATTCTAGGTGCCTTGAGATCGTAGAAAAATTCCTGGAGAACGCCGAGTTTTCAAAATTTCCAATTTTATATTTTCATCAGAATGAGCTACGATACAAGTTATATGAAAGAATATGTAATTTAACAGAATGCTATGGTTCCAAAAATCTATTTTAGTGCTTAGCAACCCTCCAATACTTGCCATTCCAACTCTGTCTGATTTTCCACTCTGCTACCGCAATTTTATCGTTTTATGCAACTTCTCATTTCCTCCACAAACATATGAAAAAGTCTCCAATTCATATTAATTTCAAATGTTTATTACTTGTCTATTTTTTCATTAGCTATCTCAGGGGAGCAATTTTCTTGGCTAGTACTGTAAGTTTTAAAAATGTAGCCTTCTTTCAACTGATAATAAAATCTATATACAAATTCTAATATTTTCAGGTCCTTTTTGTACCGTGTTTTCATATTAGACGGGTCTAACAACGAAGAACAACTTCTAATGAACTCGATGACGTTCAAAGTAATTCACCTGTCATTTGCCTTGTTTTTAATCATGGACACAACGATTAAAGTGAGACATTGAAATCCTTGAATGATTAGAAAATATATGCTTTTCAGGCTCTCCTAGTTTTCGAACGAACAATTGCAACTGGTAAAGTGGAAACTTATGAGACCGAGAAGTCTAAAAAGTCCTGTTGGATTTACATTGCAATCGTAAGTTTTTGAAAATTATCTGGAACTTTTTTCTGAAATTTTGTTTCCAGATTAATCTGTTTCCAGTATCTGTAGTCTATGCTACATATCCGAATGCAGAATTTTCCCAATCGGCTTGTTTTGCATTATTTGCACCAAGGAATACAGAAATTTGGGTGAATAGAAAACTTGAATTCAAGTTTTGCGATCGAAAATTTTGATTTTCAGATAAATATGTTGTATTTGGCTACTTTCTTATTTGCCCTTCTAAGTTTTATAACGTTGAGATTTTTGATATTATTGAATAACAAGAAATTGAAGTTGTGAGTTTTAGAAAGTTTTAGGATATTTTTTTGAAAAATTGGGAGTAAAAAACTAGATTGAATTGCGCCGAAAGCGCATCAGCTTGCTGGTAATTATATAAAAAACCTAAAAATTCCAAAATTTGATTTAAAGCTGGGAAAATAAACTTTTAATGGGGGTTTTCAGATGCATAGACTTTTTAGGATTCTCAGCTTTTTATTTTTACTTTTTCGAGTTTCAGAGAGCAAACGAATTTTGTGAAACTCTGAAAAAAATCTTGAAAATTTTGAAATCTAGAATTTTGAGGTTCTCAATCTAGATTATAGATATTCAGAATTCTAAAAACCTCAGAATCTTAAAAAAATCCATTAAAAATTTTTTTCAGTCCGAAAAAATCGAAAAAAAATCGTTGACAAAAGATTTCTAAAATCTGAACAATCGAAACGAAAATATGAAATTCGAAAAAAGTGATATCGGAAAAGTTTGAGAATCCAAAACACCTGAGAATATGAAACAACCAAAAATTTATTTTTACCCGATTAAGACTTTCAGAAGCCATCATTTTGATCAAAAATACTCCTGTTTGATCTCTAAATCAGTATTTAAGGGCCGGGAAAATCAGCCGACCGATCTGACTGATTGAATTTGTGCATTTGCGCGTTTACACGACAGAGAGTGTTTGCGTACGCAGTATTTAACGACAAACTGTTGACCGATCGATCAGTTCGGTCAGCTGTCGATTGGGTGGGTGGCGGTCGGTCGGTCGCCGGTCCGTGAATTTCGACCAACCGAAATGGAAGCCTTGATCAAAATAGATCAAACCCTGGCCTCCCCAGTTTCGGGCTACTCAAAGACTCCTTATTTTCAGCCACAACTTCAAACTCAGCACTCGATACCAAATCCGTGAAAATCTAACTTTCACATATCTAATGTCTTCTGTCCTTCTAACTGGCCTAGCCGTCGTTATATTTTATGGATTGGCAATGATCATTTTGAGAACTTCTTAATTTCAAATTTTCTTGGAGAACCGCCCACTTTTCAGTATTGTCAAGATGATAAGCTATGCAAGTTTTGAACCGATTTTCAATTTTAAAAATTGCGATTTCAGCCATTTACCATATCTGCGGTGGCTATTCCAATCTACTCTGGTCATCAATTAAACCAAGCGAACAATGCAAAAATTTACAGTTTAAATGATTCTGTGAATACTTCTCGACTGAAAGCGACAAACGTTTATGAAGACATGTTGAAGAAACAATGGGAATAATTTATTTATTTATTTTTAATTTAAATTCTTTAATCAAAATGAAAGAATCGCTTGTAGCAGATACATTACAGCAGCCGATATGAGACCTGCAAAGTGGTAAATTTCGGAACAAATTTACAAAAAAAAAAACTAATATCACCTGAAACCGGTATGGTCAAAATCCAAGATAAGAAAACGTATTTGACAGTGTGCCATTTCAAAATCGGTCCGGATCGGACTAGACCCAATCCGAAAATTGATCCAACGAGACAATGGGTCATGCTTTGGGGAATGTTGTACGTGTTGGTGGCCAAGGCGCAGATGGCAGCGCCGAATTCCACGGAGAAGCCTCTGTAAGAAAAATAGAATCAGTATTTGATAAAAACGGGTATATCTCTAGACATATGTAAGTATCCTTGAAGCAAGTGGTAGAGACATAATCTTACGTTTGATTCAAAGCTACTGAAATTTTCAATGTGATTCCTCAAGTCTAGGTATTTTAATGATTGTCCAAAGATGAACGGCGGAGTTTCAAGAGAAGAAGCAACTTTGACAAGCGATAACTCAGCTCAAAGTTGATCAAATAATTAGAAACTTGGCTAGTTTTCTGCTGGATTATTTGAATTTTCGCACTCCAAGTTTGAGCCCAGCACAAAGCTTTACTCCAATGTTATGCTAGTACAAACTTTAGTCCGGGTAATTATGCGCCACGCTGTATGGGATTTTGTGTCTTCTTAATGGCGCGTTCAAAGTTGATTTCCAGGAGTAATTTCCTGGAAAAACGCTGTCCAAAGCTGCCATTGTTTTCCAGAGGCCTCCGCTTCGAGACCCGCCGTAAATCGACAGGAATCAACAGGAAGAACACAGTCAAAACGAGTGATACAGTAGTTTACTGTTGCTGTAAATCTGGAAAACAATTGCAGCTTTGGACAGCGTTTTTTCAGGAAATTACTCTTGGAAATCAATTTTGAACGCGGCATAAAGTTATCGCTCTTTCTGCCCAGCGTCATTTAGGCACACGATTCTTCTTGTCCTGACGAACTAGAAAATAATTCAATTCATAATCTTATACCCGGAAAAAAACGTGTCATGATGCAAGCTCATTTTTAGTACTTGATTACTTTGAGTAATTGAACATAATTAAATTGGAAACTTGATCTATACATAGTGGATACATGTAGGTCACGAATTTCCACACATGAGCGCTGTTAAAAAATTTCAGGGATAATATTCTTACCTGAGAAATCAGGGCCTGGCCCGCTGGCCGGGCCGGGCCGGGTCGAAGATTTCCAGGGCCCGGCCCGACCCGGGTCCTCCAAATTTGAAATTTTTTATTTTAGACATTTTTTTCAAATTTCTTGTGAAAAAATCATTTTTTAAGGACACTCTTATTTTGAAAAATTTTTTACTTGACAGAAAAATTGTCCATTTTTTCTATTGACCCCAAAAATTTTTTTGAAGAGACAGGAAATTTTTTTCTGAAAACTCGGGCCCTGAAAAAAACTAGGCCACTGTGATTGATGGCCGAACAAGGTCTCACACACACTTGATGGGTTTTTAGGCCGTCACAGTACATGTCCTAGAAATGGCCTGATATTCACCTAGTGTACTTTCTAAGCCCCTGCAACATGTTGGCCTCACTCTTGCAAGTTGAGTTTTCTAGGTCACCATGGTAAACGACCCAGAAATGTCTTGGAATTCAACTGGTGAGTCTCAGAATCCCCTTTAAAGTCCTTCTAGAACCTACGTCGCTGGATTCATTTTCGCGAAATTCTCTCCAACAGTTCGTATGACTCGAATCCCCAGTGTCCAAATTCCCATCAGAACAGCCAGTGTGGTGAGTAATCCGACGTAGACGGAAATCTGGAAACAAGGACAATTTTTCTTTGTTTTTCTTCTAATCTTCTATGTACCGATATGAAAAATGAAGTAACAGTGAGCCGTCAAGAAATTGGTAAAAGTGATTAGATTTGGAAGAAGTCAGAAATATAATTGGAAGGCGGTGGGAATATAGAGTAAAAATCATAGAAAAGCGTGCGGTCTTGACACAAATAATGTTTTCGGAAAGATTTTGATTTTTTTCAAGCTATATTTAGAATCAATATTGTTGAAAAATTGAATGGTAAGATTTTTCAAATCTTGGGGCCGTATAGATTTTGGATACGGTATTTTCGTCTACCAACGCTGTCAACGTTGAGCAAATTTATCTCAATCTCTGTCAAAGATAGGAAAAAGTTGTCAACTGATAAGTTGTTAATCTTAATATCACTAATATTTTATCAGTTGATAACTTTTCGATATTTCTCACTAGAATCGAGATAATTGAGCTCAAAGTTTTGGTTGGGATTCTATTAGAGGAGATAGGTATCTAAAACTGAGCATTGAAAAATGTCTTATTTAACAAAATATATTACAATCTTGAAAATTGAGGATTTCAAAAATTCAAAAAAAAACTTCGAAGGTTTTTAGAATATAGAAACCGGGAATCTGGGAATCCTAGATCCAAAAAAAATCAGAAATCTCAAAGTTGGTTTAAAAAAAAACTCGAGAGTTTGGGATTTTTCTAGTTACCAAATTTCAAAACACCGTGATACCGTAATCCGTAGTCCTACCGTAATCCCAAAACTAACGTAACCCCAAAACTCACATTTAAGTCTGTATTATCTTCTCGATATCCTTGATTATACATCTGCACCAATTCCCGAATTGGTGCCACACAATTTCTGAAACCAATCAACACTTTTCTCGTTTTTCTAGCTTATTTGTTTCGTCATCAGAAAAAATTTATTTTGATTTGAGAAACCAGAAAATCCAGAAAACAAAATTTTGGTGATGAAGACTTGTTGTTACAATTACAATTACAAGACTTGTTGTGATTTGGGCGAGTAGATTATGTAAGAAATATTTATTTAGTTATGTAAAACCATTTTTTGCCTAGTTATGATCAATATACCGTATTTGTTCGTATTTGCTCCTTATACTGTATCTTGCATCTTGAGTTTAAATATCTCGCTTCCTTTAAGAGATATCGAAAATCTGTCATCTGATAAAATATTGGTGATGCTATACTAAACAATTGATTAGTTGACAATTTTTTTTGATATCTCTTAGTAGAAGCGAGATGAATTAGCTCAACGTGATTAGGCCAAAACGAATACTTCTTGATCTAAAACCCACGTTATATCATTAGCTCCATGAGCAAAACCAGCAAAGCAGGCTGTCAAAATTTGAAGGAAACTGAAAAGTCGTACAGCTTTCTGATCATCGTTTCTCATTGGCGGAAATGCCCAATACACAGCTTTTCGGAGGCACCCAGTTGGCTCAAATGTATACGATAGGGAGCTTGCGATTCGAGGGAGCTCTTCGGTTTTTTCTGAAGAAAACCTGATAATTTCAAAAATTAGTAAATTGAAATTCCTGAATTTGAAGTTCCCCCTTTTTTACTGAAAACCATCGAACAATGTTTCGAATTTCTTGAAATCGATGTCAAAAGTCACATACTCCGGTTTCGTGTGAGGAATAGGTTGGCTTAGTTTTCTCAACATGATTTTTCTAGGCCACCGTAGTTGACGGTTGTCTAACATGCACCTCATGTGTTATATGGCACATTTACCATAATGGCCTAACTTTCGCAACTTCTTGTTTCTAGGCTACCACGGTGAATGGACTAGAAATGGCTTGACATTGCTCTGACGTGATTTCTAGGCTATTTGACATGGTGGCCTAACTTTAGCGATTTGAGTTTTTTAGGCCACCTATCTTTAAGACCTAGAAATGGCCTGATATTCAAGTGATGCGTTTTCTATGCGATTTACGTTTGCATGTTTCCCAACGTTTGCATGTTTAGTTTCCTAGGCCACTATAGTATATGACTAATAACCTGATATAGTGAGTTCTAAGCTTTTTTAAATGATGGTTGAACTTTCACAACAAGATTTTTCTAGGCCACTGTGGTTGATGGTCCAGAAATGGTCTAACATACCCCGTATGTGTTATCTGGGTCATTTTAACATTGTATTCTAACTTTTGCAAGCTGAGTTTTCTAGGTCATTATAGTAAATGGCTTAGAAATAGCCTGATATTCACCTAGTGTGTTTTCTAGGACATTCACTATAGTGCTCTAACTTTTGAAAATTGAGTTTTCTAGGCCATCTATTTTTATGACCATGGTGGCTTAACTTTCACATTTTGAATTTTCTAGGCCACCATAGTGAATGGCCTAAAAAACACACCAGGTGAATATCTACGCATTATTAGGCCATTTACTATGGTGGCCTAGAAAGCTCAATTTGCAAAAAGTTAGGCCGTCATGGTGAATTGCCTAAAAACGTACCAGCTAAATAGTTTTGTTGGCACATTAACCATCATCAGCTTTCGGAGACTAGAAAGCACCTACTGATGAAATTATATTTTTCATCTTTTTTTCTAGTTTAAAGTTTTTACTATTTTTCTTCAAAAATCAGAAGCAATGTTTTCGTTCAAAACATGCTCATTCATTGGAACAGAAGTCTCTTATGATGCAAATGACGAAAGATACTATGACTAATGACATCAAACTTCCATTATCCTCATTTTCATCTGAATAAGTCAAACTCACTTTTCAATCTTCTTTTCATCACTGGTCCCACCACGAAAAGTGCCAAAAATCCAGCCAGAACTGATATTACTAGCGATATAGCTACCGTATACATGAACGGAATCTCGTCGAATCGTAGCACTGGAAAGGTATTTTTTAAATGTGAAATTTTAAAATCTTACCTCTGGATCCATCTTGTAGAAATAGAAAAACATTGGTGAACACCACGATTACATAGATTCCAGGCAGTAGGAATAGCCCAGTGTTTACTGGATTTTTCTGGAAATTTTCTAATTACAGCACCCGTCAATAAGATATACAAAAACGTATTTTTCTAGATCTGTTTTACATTCTAAAAATGTTCAAAATGATAGGAAACTTGACAGCCGAGCTTCAGACTCCTGAAAACAGTCAAAACGGCCAAAAATCAACTGAAAAATACGTTTTTCTAAGTATGTTTTACTGACCGATACTGTATTTTGTAAACCAAACAAACAAACCCACCGCTCTTAATATAATAACATCCAGTAGAAAAAATGTGATAAGTGTGAAAATTGCTGATACCAGAGGAGAAAATACCCATATCAAGAGCATCAATAAAACCCGGCTCCAAATTATCCCCTCCAGCCCACGTAGTACAAATGAGAAACCCATTGTGGCACCCAATAAAGAATGAATCGATGATACCGGCATACTGTAGTAGGTGGCTACCATAAGCCACGTGGCACATCCAACCAGCATTGCAATTTGACCAATCACCAATTCATCCGGGTTGTCTGCATAGGAACTGGTATGAATTATTTTCAATGCTTTGCCATCTCCTGAGAATCCGGATGCCACTGATCCCATCATTTCTACTATGGTAGCTAGAATGAATGCTTGGGTTACTGTAACGGTTCCAGTGCCCACAGAAGTTCCGAATGCGTCAGCCACATCGTTGGCGCCCATTCCAACGCCGAGCATGAAACAGACACCGAATAATAGCGACCATTGTACTACTTCCTGAATATTCAAATGATTACTGTAGTTGGAAAATGAGACAACTTCGGCTCATAGAACGACTTTCATTCTAGTCGGTTCAAAATCGGCGACATCCGACTGACAACTGACCAAACTGACCGAATGAAAGCCTTAGCTCATAGTGGATTACTGTACTTACTAAATTGTAATGAGGAAATGGTTTATAGGCTTCTGGAATCAGCGGTAGTTGTGCAGGAGTCGTGACTTGTACAAATATAGGTGGATTTAAAACCAAATGACTATTAAAGTTCATTCTCTCATACCTGCAATAGGATTACTGTAGTAAAAACATTGGATTACTGTAGTAAAATGATAGGATTACAATAGGACTACTGTAGTAGTTTTTTTTTAAACAAGATAAAAATTATGGGTAATACATATGTAGAGCAGAAAATTAGAAATGCGTAGGCTGTTTTTCGTCTGAAAACAGTTGTTTTAAAAAAACTCCAAAACATGTTTGTCATTAAAAGATGAGCTTACTAAATGACCTTTTTTACTCAGAGCCTGTTTCGAATTTTCAGAATTTACCCTAGTTTTCAGGCGAAAAGATTAGTTTTCCATTTTTCTTGAATATGTTCTACCTAGTATCTCAAAGTACTTGTTTTCCGTCTACTTATGTTAGAAAATGTCGAAAATTTTCTCAAAACATTCATATTCAAAAAAAGTTCGTCAAGAAAAAATGTTCCTTCTTTTTGATAGCAAAACAAATAATGCTCGGGTGAGTTGAGCGCATATGAAAAATTATATTAAAGAAAAAACATTTGATACTTTTTGTATTCAATTTTGCAATTTTCGAACAAAAAATTTTAACTTGTTTAGATTTTAAATTTTTAAGATTCTGAATTTTAAAATTTCGATAGAATTTCGAGATTCTGAGATTCTGAGGTTCTGAGATTCTAAGATGCTGAAGAACCCCGAAATCCCAAAAACAAAAACACCAACAAACTTTCGCATGAAAAATCATGGAAAACAATTTCCAAGTACCCAAAAACCGAACATATAGTGCTCTATATACTCCGTTTCGCTCAAACATTATGTATCACTCTTGAAGACTTCCGTAACTCCTTATTTGCGTGAAATCGAGAGAGTGTGTAGTTTTGAGAGACGCAGATGGGCTACTGTTTTCCGATGAGAACACTGTCTGTTCGGCGTGTAATATGAGTCAGCAAACTTGAGACTTTGATGCACATGGAATTTTGAGTCACTGAGAAATTGTAAACTGAAAAACACAAAGGGTATATAATAGCTAGTACCAAATTAGATTTTGATTGGAAAAATTCATTAGCTTACAAAAAACAACTTACTGTAGATGAGTCAAATGTCTCGAGTAAGTATTTTTTCAAAGTAAATTATCGCATTTTCTATAAGTGATATCAAAAACCTGTCAATTGATAAAATGTCAGTGATATTATGATAAATAATTTATTAGTTGACCGTTTTTCAATATCTTTTAGAAGAACCGAAATAATTAAGCTCAAAGAGCACTATATGGTGACATCAATTTGAGTGTTTTCTGTATCTTTGTTCGTTTGATAGTTACAAAAAATGTTCAACTAATGAAATGCTTAAAATTTAATGGAGATTATTATTGTAGTTGGCAATTTTTCAAAATCTTTCACAGAAACTGAAATAAGCGGGCTCAAAGTGAATCTGCTTTTATAAAATTATATTACCAAGCAGTTCCGCGTTTTCAGTCTCTGCCTCTTGTTTGTTTTTTCTAGAACAAAATTTGAAAATTAATTTATGAAGACGGCTACCAAAAACCTGAAAACAAGTTCTCATTCTTTCTTTTCGTCACTCATTCTCCATGGATTTTTTCGATGATTTTCAGGGTCCAATAAATCGTTCTCCAATGGGTCTCAAAATATATTTAATCACAGATTGTTTCTGTATTTTTATGGGATTGCTCACAATTATTGGCAACTCTGTAATTCTATATTTATTCTTCACAAAACGTCTTGATTCGAGAAGAAATTTGAGGATTATCTTGTACATGGCAGTTACGGATATCCTGTTCGCAGTGATGAGTGAGCCCTGAATGGAATTTTGAAAAATAAGAAACAATACAAAAAATTTCAGTAATGCCCCAAATTTGTTACATGATTTACAACTGGGATACCAATTTTGTCAATTATGATCCATATGTGATTGCAGCGATCGGTTGGCCATTACCGTTGTTTTTAAAAGCTTGCGTTGGTTTGAACGCCGGAGCAGCGACGGAGAGAATTCTTGTAAGCTGAATTTTCGTGCTGTAAACGCTCTCCAGTACCATCAACTTTGAGCTGATTTCCTGTAAAAATTTCCCAACAAATGCCTTAAAGCGTATATTCCAGTATAGGCCCCCGAAACATTCCAATATAGCACCCCTGGCATAAATGTTGGAATACACCCCCACCCACCATCTTTCATAAGGTGGGTGGGGGGTTCAAAAAATGTTTTTCCTGATTTTTTGCCTGAAGATCAAACGTACGCAGCCAAATTACGCATAGAAAAATTTTTGTTATTTATCGATTTTGCACCGGTTTTTTGTTAGTTTTCTTTAGATTTCGGCGTTTTCCTACTTTTTCTCAATTTTTCCTGATTTCTGGTTTATATTACCGTACAAGTAGAAATGTTGAAGATTCGAAATAAAAATAAGCTTAGCACCCTAAATCGGCGTATACCTTGAAAACAAGACCCCTAGAAATTTTTAAGACTTCAAATAAGCCCCCCATCATTTCAATATGACCCCCCTCCCCCGCAATCCGTTCCAATCAGACCCCCCCACGCGGGGTGGTATTCCGAAATTTCCGTTTGGGGCTGCATATTGGTTTGTTGTGGGGGGTTATAATGAAAGATTTCCACGGATTCCAATTTAACCCCCCAAATCAACGGTGGGGGATATTCTGAACTCTAAAATGTCCCCCCCCCCCCCCACCTAATCATCCCATTTTGAGACCCCCACCTTTTTAACCCCACACTTTTCAACGGGGGGGGGGGGGGGGGGGGCGGGGTATAATGGAATTTTCCCGACTTAAAATCTATCAAAAAATTGGTTACTAAAATTTTGAAAATAACTGAACAAATGAAAAATGACTAAATTTGTTTTTTTAAATCTTCTTAAAGGTGGTGTGCGGTGAAAATGTTTATTTTTTATTTTGTGTAGAATTCTATGCAGATTCTTATAAAAATAAAGAAAACATTCAAAAAAAATTCCTTCATCGAGAAAAACGGCATCGAAAAGTCAAAGTTGTATCTGGTGGCCGAGCGAAACAGCAGGGGTTTTTAAGGCCATTTGCAGGAAAAATCGAGCTAAATTTGAATTTTTATTGATTTTCAGTGTTTTTTCAGATTTTCAAAAATTTTTTCAAATGTTTTGTTAATTTTCTCCCAGATATATTTAACAAACTAAAAAGGGGATCCTCTAGAGTCGACCGCAGGCATGCAA